AACTTGTACATTTATTAGATTATCTATAATCAAGCTTCTTTAGGGACTGGTCATAAAGTAAAGAGAGGGAATGAAGGGGGCGGGCCACACAACTTCATAAGAGGGGTGGGCTGTATAAAAATTTATCCATTTGTCTATTTACATGGCAACTTTCTAATAAAGCGAACTTTCTAATTACAACTTTTAAAATGAAATCCATAATTTCAGATAAAAACCTCAAAAGCTAAAATAAATATAAAAAAACCTTTGAGTCTTTTCTTTTCCTATGTGTGTGTGTGTTTGTGTTGTTGGTGTGGGGGGGGGGGGGGGGGGTATTGATCAAGGGATGTATGTAAACTGTGAGTAAGAACACTTGTCAGTGTTGGAATTGAAGTCGCAGATGCAAAACAGAACTCTTCCATTATCAGCATCAACTAAAAATCTGCATAATAATGTAAATGCACATATGGAATCCTGTTAAATATGTGCATGCTTGACATGGTTGGGAGGTGAGGTGATCATGAACGCTACACACGTGATGCCCAAACTTAACTAAAACTTTATGAATGCTAAGATCTCCAAAAAATCGTACAACACAATAATGCTTTCAGATGTTAAGARACTTTTAGACAGAATAAATATCATCTTATCATCTTTTATTTTGCTTTTTMATTGGAAAATACCAAAGTTACAAACAGTATTTATTGGTCTTCCTGTGGTTTGTTCCAGAATTCCTCCCGGGCTCCTTTACCTCGCGCATGCTCAGTGGCTCGTCATTTTACAGAGCAACAATAATTTGTTGGAGAAAGGAAGTCTTTTCTTTATTTTTTTGCCACTAAAATGGTGGACTATAGCCGATGGGATCACATAGAGGTAATATTGCATAAAACATTGTACATATTTAACAATACTGATTATGAATTTGAGAGTATTTTGGGAGATATGAGCGTTTAACAATATCGAGTTGAAAGCAGTTCCGCATTTATCTAGTTATAGTCTGTTCTCAACTCACGCATGAATCAAACAAATAACAGGTGATTTTATTCTTTAAAAAAGAAATGGTAGACAAATTTAAACAAGTGTAAATGTTTTATCTTTTACGCAAGGGAATATGAAGTAAATGAAGTAGCTATTGCTTTTATACATAGGAATGCTTTTACTTAGCAGGGCTATCAACCCCCAAGATACAGTGGAACCCCGTTAATAAGGACACCGTTGGGACAGACAAAACTGTCCTTATTAACGGGGTGTCCCTATTAACCGAGGTGTCAGAAAAACAGCTGAAAATACATTTTTAACCATTTATTTTTACTGTACTATAAACAGATTGAACTACAATGGTCGATATAACAGCCTAAACTGGAACAAAAAATGCATTACTGTATAAGAACTACATTTGCATTTACTGCGTTGTATTGTATACAATTTAATTTAAATGTTTACTGTTTTCTTTTTACTGTGCTGCACACTTGCAGCTACAATGTTCAATACAACAGCCTAAACTGAAACAAAAAACACAATACTGTTCAAGCACGACATCATTTATGTACTATACTGTACTGTACTGTATAATTTCATTCTGAAAGAAATCTGTGATTTTTTTTTTCGGAACAAAGTTCAAAATACTGGGATTGAACCAAACTTATTGAACATCACTTAAAATCCTGCTAAAATCGAGCGTTGTCTATTTCATTATGCTGTAATAGAAAATTCTACTGCAATGATCAGTGTGTGGTCCTCCGATACGCAAAAACTGACAATATAATCCATATTAAGCTCATTAGATCAATAAACAAATACAGTAAAGACGTCTTCAAATTTCAAGTGTCCTTAATGAGGGGTTGATTATGTATGAAAACTGTCATTCAGGTCCTAGAAATGTGTCCTTTGTACTTATTAATGGGTGTCCTCATAAAGCGGGTTAATTTAACAGAAAATGTATGGAGCTTTCGCTGGGACTTTGAAACCTGTCCTTAATAACGAGGTGTCCTTATTAAGCGGGTGTCCTTAGAGCGAAGTTCCACTGTATTCAAATCTGYGGTAAAATTGATAGGGAAGGGACATGAAAAGACGTCATTCACTTTGTAACATTTGATGTGATTGGTTTATTTCTGACCAATCAGATCACTTATTACAATGGCCTKCTTGCAAGAACAGTTTATGAGGAATTTTGTTTTGATTTTGTTAGCAATGTAAAATAACACAAACAACACAAATAATTGGAATTTTATGGTTGTTACAGTTGAGTTTCATGAGAGATGGTCAGCTTYGGCGATTATCCGGGAGATTTGACACTCTAATCTGGAGACTCCTGGTTTATCCGTGAAAGTTGACAGCCCTGAATTATGGACCAATYGTTCATTACGTCCCGGGGGAGGGGGGGACAGGGTGGTTTCTTCGCAAATAAAATAAAATGAAATTTGTACCCCATTTTAAAATCATTAAGTGGAATTACATACCCCTCCCCCTTCAACACTACTAAATCCCCCTCCCCCTGTAATAAACGATTGGTCCCTTATCTTTATTTGTTATTGCTCTAYTAAAAGGTTTAAAAGAAATGTAAACAGATAATAATGATATAACTTCATTATGTTTATGTGCAATAAARTATTACAAAATCAAATAAAATTGTTTTATTCAGCTCACATAGTGTGTTGGCTCTGATTGGTCAAGAACTGTGATATAATAATGAACAGAGCATAGTTGCTGATACCATCCTAGYGCACAGCATGTATTAGTTATTCTCAGGTTAAGAAAATAACTGGATTGAGTTGGCATTAAAGTGCATTTTTGGACTATGTTAGGGGACGAAATATATGCCATAACAGCTAATACAACTGTTATCTTAAAAATGATCCAATCTCCAAGAACAAATGAAGATTGTYTCTTTGCATTTTCTATAGGTCAGTGATGATGAGGATGAGACCCATCCCAATATTGATACTCCAAGCCTTTTCCGCTGGCGTCACCAGGCAAGAGTAGAGAGAATGGAAGAAATGGCAAAAGAAAGAAAAGCTATGGATAGCAAACTGGCAGAGTTAGTATTATAATTGTTTTAACTTAAAGTATTCAAGCAATTTTGATAATAGGTGACCAGTTCTAAGCAGTCTTTGGCATGGAGTTCTTCAAATATYATAAAGCAAATAGCAGTAATAATAAAATGTGGTCAGTGCTAGGGTTTCATTATTACATCTTTGTCCTATCGACTTTATGATATTATAGAATAATTAGGAAAGCAAGAAAGATGTGATTGTCAGGTACAATCAGCACTTCACATCTCAATATTCAATATTATTAGGATAATATCAGAGTGTCATTCCAGAGTGGTTATCTCAAAAACATTTTTCTTTGGATTTTTGAAATCAGCATTAAATTCCAGGTTCAAAAAGTTTCAATTTTCAATTTTCTGTTTATCATTTACCAAAGTAGTCAGCCACCTTAATCTTTTTTTCTGCCAGATTTTATGTCATCTGTGCCTTGTGCATGTATTTCAGACTCTCTATGAATTGTAAGAGAATCAAACAAATGGTATAGAAAGGAGAATAAATAGTCTATACAATAATTATATCAAAGGTTATGAGGTTTATCTCTTATATTTTGAACAGGAAAAGGAAAGAGCTGGAGCAACTGAGAGAAAAATTATCAAATGCCAGTATGTCAGATAAAGAAGGATTTCAAAAACATTTAGATAAAGCTGAAAGTGAGGTACAAAATATGCTTTAAAAATATGCTGTGTCTGTTTTTAAAAATTCGCTGAAGACACATTTGTTTAA